GGGTCACCGTCGCCGTCCTGCACGTCGTAGGTGGTGGCGGTGGCGGAGCCATAGCTGAGCGTTTGGTCGCTGTTGTTGGTTACCGGGGAGAGGGTGTTAACGCTCGTCGGGTCCGCTGTGTCTTCGCACAAGTGGAAAGCGTACACCGCGTCCAAAACATCCTCGCCCTGCGCGTACTCAGGGGTGGCGCAGAGCAGGTTGCTGTCGTAGCGACCCTTGAAGTTACTCAGCCAGGAGGCCAGGGCGCAAACGTTGCGGCCGCAATCCCAAGCGTTGGCCGAGAGGCTGATGCTCGTGAGGGACTTCCAGGAGTCGAGGACTCGGGAGTCGATGTAGGTCAGCCGGTTGGAGTCCAGCTGCAGGGATTTGAGGTGAGGTACGCTCTCGAAGACATGAGGTTCGATGTATTCGATTTCGTTGCCGGAGAGATCCATTTTTTCGAGCTGCCATATCCAGTCCAAAGTGTTTACGACGATGGTAACTTTATTCCTTCGCAAGCAGAGAGAGTGCAGGGAGATGAGCCTGGGGAAATGGGCTAAATTCACCTTCACCAAGTCATTGTGCTCGAGGTGCAGCTCGGTGAGTTTGAACAAGCCTGCAAAAGAGTTTCGAGCCAGGCTCTTTAACTGATTGTATCCTATGTCTAGAAACTTCAGGCTGCGACAGTCCTGAAAAATTCTCACGGGCACGAACTTGATGGCGTTCGACCGCATGTGCAAAGTTGTCAGTTTTCTCAGCCCGTGGAACAGGTCAGGCTCCAAAGACTGTAGGTTGTTGTATGATAAATCCACACTGCGCAAGTTTGGCATGGGTCGGAAAGTGGTGTTGGCCAGTTGGGTTATTTTGTTGGAACTCAGAGTGAGCTCTTTAACTCGCCGCAATTTTTGAAAGGCATTCCCCTCCACTGAGCAAATGTGATTGTGATCCAGATAGAGCCACGTGAGCTGCATTAACCCTGTGAACTGTCCATCATGCAGCTCTGAAAGGCTGTTGTACCGCAGAGACAAGCCCATCATGCCCGACAGGTTGCGAGGCATCTCTGTAAGATTCAGTGATTCACAGTACAAAAGCCTGCCCTCACACCGACATAGCTGTGGACACCCACTATTCACGGCTGGAAGCATTTTAGAAAAGATACCCAGCGTACACAATATCAACCCCGGGGGCTTCCTCAGCAGCCAGTTTAAACAGAGACCGATAAGAAGGAAATCCATTAGCAAGAATATTTCCAAATCGGCTTGAGAATGTCCATTGAATCGTTTCAAATTCTACATCATATTTTATTTAAGAGGGGGAAAAAAACCACAACCAACCCCCCCCCCCAAAAAAAAAACCCCAAAAAAACACAAACCCGAAAAACCAAAGCCGGAAAACCAGAGCAAAACAGCAAACAGAACAAACACAGAGGCAAATATTTCACTTTACAGCATGCAGGAGCTGTGCAGCATTAAAGTTCACAGACATTCAAAGGTAAAATGATAGTGAATTTGTTCATGTTAAATGCTGCAGCAAAGAGAAAAAAAAAATCTTTCTTCATGAAAGAATTTAATTAAAAAGTGTCTTACCCACCCTTTTCCAGAGAGTGACAACCTCCATTCAGTTGCTTCCTTTGTGTTTGGACTAATTATATGCAGAGCTAAAAAAGACCCCTCTGTGCTACAAATTCAGTCCCTTTCAATTTTGTGCAAGGCTGGCAAGCTCACAATGTCTCACTTCGCTTCTGCTCAAAGAGCGAAAAGGCTTGTCCAGCTCGCCTTGCAGCTGACTCCTAGGACCTGCAAGTTTCAGAACTATGTACATGAGCTTGATCTTCTCCTTCTCCCTCTGTCCTTTCCTCTGCAGTTAACACTGTGGCGTGCAAAAAACTCCAAACTCTTTACTAACGACTCCACAGGATTTGTCAATCTGTTTAATGTCCATCATTTGCAACGACCATTGACCGGCACAACCTTTTACTCCGGAGAGAGGTTACCATTCATTCACTGACCGGCTAAGGGTAGCTTTATTTCCCATTCTTTGTTCGCTGTGCTTGTTAGGTGATGCTTAGAGGAGAGAGAGACAGCAAGAATCCCTTCCCTTCAGCCGAGCAGTGTGTTGCGAGAGCGTGCAGAGGCACCTAGTGCTCACTGAGTGTCGTAAGCTGCTCAGGATTGTGCGCCGGCAACTGGGCATCTCAGGCATGGGCAGATGGAAAAGGGGTGGGCAGAGAGAAAAAAAACCCAACCTCGGCGAGCGGCAGCGGCAGCAGCAGAGGAAAGTAATGCACGCTCTCGGATGAAATGGAAAAAGACTTGCCAGCCGCTCGCTCTCGCCATTTCTCAACCGGGCACGCACACACACACACACGCGTGCACCCCCAGCAAATCATCGAGAGCGATGCTTAAGTAGGAAGCTTGAGAATTAGGATTCTCGGGTCGTTGCTTTGGCTTCTCTTTAAAGTCTGAATTTCTAAACTGGTAGCCGGGAGAGGCAGAGACTCGGGTTCTTGGTTTGGAAAGGAATATATAAACCGGTGTCTTCGGATTGTCGTTTTTTTTCTCTCTTGATGATGAGATTTGCCTTTTGGAGTCTTGAGGTGGGGGGAGAGGGCGAGGGTGGTGGGAGGGGGGGCAAATGTGTTTTTCTTCTGACATTGTCTAAATAGAGCATGATTTGAAATTCTGTGCGTTCTTTCTCATAGAAATGCAGCCGGAGCTCTGCAAATAAGAATGTCTGGTTTCGTATAAGCTTCAGTTACATTTGGTCTTTTTCCGTCATGCATATTTTGTGTGTGTTCAGCACATGCTTTTTCCTAAAGGTTGGTTGTGGGTTTTTTTGTGGTTTTGATTTGTTTTTTTGTTTTTTTTGTAGCATACTCTATTGCACACAAAACCATCACTCTAACAGCAGAAAGATTACTCTGCTTTTGGAATAAGAGCAATGTATAGGTTCCTCTGACCATGTCAGCAGGCATGCAAAGAAGGGGTTTAAAACTCAATGAGTTAATAACTTCTGCAAATTTCGCTGGTTTTTGTTGCGTGTACCAAAAAAAAAAAAAATCCTTGCCTGATAATTTGCAGTCCTCATTATCTAGGGGAGTTGCCTCGGCAGTGAGCTCTCTCTGTAATTTTGACTGACTGACAAATATATGGTACTTCTGTCAGGAAAATACTGGCCATCTTTTCCTATTATGAAATAGAGTCTAAAGCCTGTGTGCTGGTGAACACGATCAGAGCTGGCAGCTCGCAATCCTGCTTGAATTCTCTGTGAAGAACTTTCACATGGAAATGCAAGTATTGCAGAAGATCATGCCCATTTTAAGTCAACATTGGTTGTGAAATGCAGAAGGCAGGGCAAAACTGTTGTGTTTGCTTTCTTTTTCACAGCTGTATTAATTTTTTTTATTTAAAAAAATCATCTTTTTGAAGTGTCTGTTGCCGAGCTGTGAAATCTTAGAGCTGTTATGGTGGTTTTGAGTGTGAATGCATGCTGGGGGAGATCAAGGAATGCAGTGATTTGATGCAGTAAAAGTTATTTTACAGAAGTCCTGGAAAACTTAAACTCTCGTTCATAAAAATGTGTAACGGAGATTCATTACAAATGTATTTGCAAAAAAATAAAAAAATAAATCCTTAAATAAATTCCAAATATATAAGACGTGGAGTGTGGTTTCAGAACCTGAGAATGAATGTGGTTTTATGCTCCCAGTTGAGATTAGTTACATTTTTATTGCTGTTCACAGCCCGTGCATTTCAGTGGTCTCAAAGCAAAAATGTGATGCTTTGACAGTGTATGAACCTCTCATATGTTTTAGCATTTGGGCAGGAAAGCTGAATGTGTTCTTCCCCTCCCAAGATCATGCTGATTTTTTTAAAGCAGGCTGTTTATGCAAGTGTCCACTGGTTGCAGTACACCTTAATTCTGTTTCTCAGTACACAAAAGCAGGAGGAAAAGCAATGACAGAACCAAAGGAAAGAGCGTTGAACCAGAAGAGACTGAAAAAAAAAATAAAAATTCCAAGAATATATTCCAGATTGCATTTCTGAATATTTTGATGCAATTAGCCAGGGAAAAAAAATAAAAAGATGACTTGAACTTTAGAGATACTGAAAAAAGCTTTGAAGCGATGAGCTTGTATTCCTTAAAAGACTGCAACCCTACACGTCTGTATGGGGGAGGTCTTAATACCTTCTCCCATGTAACAATTTGGAGAGAGATCTGCAACACTAACCCTAAAAATTTCAAGTATATCTTCAAGGAAAGCTGACATTCTGCTCTAAATCAGATGACAATAATGATCACTTAGTTCCCATCTAGATGCGGTGTGTAGAGTGAAGAATTCCTCCAGTAGAGATGGAACCCCCTTGATACATCTCTGTGAAGAGCTGAATGCTTTTTTTCACTGCTTCTTCCTGCTATCAGCTGGGATACAGCTTGGCTCCTAACCAATCTCACTATTCCCACACTGGCATATAATCTATTATCGTTTGCTTTCCAGAGGTAGAAATCAGAGCAGACAGTATCAAACCTATATAGCATCAGCTGGAAGATTGGCTAGTTAGAAACCCAGGATTAATGGCCCTAAGCTCAATATTGTGCAACTGTGTCAAAAGTCTGTTGCGGGAGAGGCTCTGCTCTTATTTGTCCAAAATTTGTTCGCAAAAAACGAAGCTAGGGAGTCTTAAAAAAGAGAGACCTCAACACACGTTTGAGGGTGTGAAGTTTTGGCAGTGACCAAATTGAAGAGCTGTGGCATGTGGATCTGAAAAGACAAACTCTGGTGAATATATGTCCTAGCCCTGAAATATCTTTGGGAAAATTGGTTTTCTTCCATATTTTTGAAATGTACTCTTTTTTTTTTTTTTTGCGATAAAACTAGAAATCCACTCTGAACATGATTGTAACGCAAAGAACTTAATTTCCACTGTCTGAGCTGTTATCACAGCCAAACTGTTGAGTTTACACATTTTCTGAAGTTTCAAAGCCTCTGGCAAAACACTATAAATTAACGGATTTAAATTAGCTTTATTAAATGTGCTATTTTAAATCATTTTAAGAAGCGCAAACTAAGTTTATATGTGTTTAAGGGAAAGTGATTAAATCAACGTGAAGGAGATTACAGAAGAGCAGCATGAATAAAGTTTCTGAAAGTTTAGCTGGGAAGCCGTTTCTTGGAGTCATGATGAGAGTAATTCATGGGCAGTGACTGTCCAAATTGTTCCAGTTGAAAAAAAGAAAACATTTTTCGATTAATTTAGTCTACACAATTTTAATACACATTTTTAATATTGGGCTCAAATTAATGTCATGTATCATTTAAGTAGCCTCAGAATCATTGCATTCTTACTATGTTTAACTACCCTGAATTTGCAGTCCAGTACAAATGGGATTGGGACAGAGTGAATAAGATCAGAATCTGTCTAACTATGCATATATACATCTTTTAATAAATTAACCACCAAAATACAAAAAGACAAAACTGTACATTAAACACTGTGTATACTTCTTCCTTCTGGTATTTTCTGAGTGGTTTCTATGAGTATAATAAAAAGCGGGACTTTTAGAGGTGATTTTAATTTCCTTTCATGAATGGACAGACTCAAACCTTGATCTTACATGGTAGTCTTTAATTTTCAAGTGCATTGAACCATGGCATTTTGTATAAAGGAAACATTTAGAAACAGAAAAGGGCAGAAAAAGGCATGACTTCAAGTAAAGCAAATTAAATCTGTTATTCCTCTAGTATTTATAACTCGATCATGCCTGGCAGTTGGGCATCTATCCTTTCTATAGAGAATTCGGGGTTTCAATTGTTAAGAAGTCCATCACCTATGTAACATGACTCTTTTAGTACATATAAAAATACAGTGTGTTACACGTGCTTTTGACCAAAATACTTATGGTGATTCAAGTTTTACAAGTTGCAATGGCAACTATCATTAAATTATTGCAGTGCAGAAGACACACATTGGACTTGTTACTACCTTTAAATTATAGATATTCTTATGTAAATCATCTTATTGGTTTTGACAGTGATAAACATCCTTCTCACTAGTCACTCCTTTCCTGTTATTAGCCACATTCAACAGCAGGTAGTCATGTACAGCTCTGTGAAGACCAATGTGAAGAATTACCAATAGAGTGCAGAAATGTCGATTTTTAGGAAAATATATCAGTGGTAAGGTGAAGTGTCTCTCTCCTCCGTTCGCTACTGATAGACTATTTGAATAAGCTGAAGAGTTACTGACTCTCTTAAGTAGCTGTGTAATTACCTATGGATTTCTGGATGTGCTGTGAAAGCTCTAGACAGTGTTCTTGGTTGTGAATGTCCAAGTATAATGAAAAAATAACAAGTAGTAAGTAAAAACTATCCTTATGTGATTAATCAACACACTGCTGAAGATCACAGAACTACAGAATCGCAGAATGTCAGGGTTTGGCAGGGACCTCAAAAGATCATCTAGTCCAGCCCCCCTGCCAGAGCAGGATCACCCAAAGTAGGTCACACAGGAACGCGTCCAGGTGGGTTTGAATGTCTCCAGAGAAGGAAACTCCACAACCTCCCTGGGCAGCCTGGGCCAGGGCTCTGTCACCCTCACAGGGAAAAAGTTTTTTCTGATATTTTTATGGAACCTCCTGTGTTCCAGCTTGTACCCATTGCCCCTTGTCCTGTCACTGGACGCTGCTGAGAAGAGCCTGGCTCCATCCTCCTGACACTCCCCCTTGACATATTTATAAACATTTATGAGGTCACCCCTCAGCCTCCTCTTCTCCAAGCTAAAGAGCCCCAGCTCCTTCAGCCTTTCCTCACCAGGGAGATGTTCCACTCCCTTCAGCATCCTTGTGGCTCTGCACTGGACTCTCTCCAGCAGTTCCCTGTCTGTCTTGAGCTGAGGGGCCCAGAACTGGACACAAGATTCCAGATGTGGCCTTACCAGGGCAGAGCAGAGGGGCAGGAGGACCTCTCATGACCTACCAGCTACTCCCCTTCTCACACACCCCAGGATGCCATTGGCCTTCTTGGCCACGAGGGCACATTGCTGGCTCAAAGATCATGTAGCATCCTGGTTAAGCAACAACTGGTGTGTTACAGTCACATTAATGGCTTGTTGAAACTTATGGTTTGTAGGTAAAGTAGAAATTTAAACCGTGTTTTTCAATTAAGTCTTCCTAATTTGTATCTCA